CTCTCAGGAGTCCCTGCCCTTAACCACACTGTGGCCTTGCTTCTGCAACAGCGTGTCCACCTGCTGGGCTCTTAAAGCACGATTTATTCATAGCACAATGCAGCACATGCCATATTATATTATGATTTATCTGATTATGTGGCTGTTGCTGCCTTCCCTACCCTACCTCTGCAATTTCTTCTTTAACTTGTTTTTTTATTGTGGTCAAACATACATAAGGCCATCATAACAGTGCACAGTGCAGTGGCAATGAGTACATTCACATAGATGTACAGCCATCGCCACCGACATCTCCAGCACCCTTTCCATCTTGCAGAACTGGGACTGTGTACCCCCACTCCCCCTCGAAATCCTTGGTGGCCACATTCTACTTTCTGTCTCTATGAATGTACCTGTTCCAAGTTCCTCAAATAAGTGGCATCACACAGTATTTGTCTTTTCTGTGCCTGGCTCATTTAACTTAGTATAATGTCCTCAAGGCTCATCCATGTTTAGCATGTTAGAATTTCCTTCCTTTTTAAGGCTGAATAGTATCCCACTGGATGTATTTCTTGTGCTTTGCTCATCCATTATCAGACAATTGAGTTGCTTTCACATGTTAGCTGCTGTGAATATTCAGTGCTGCCCAGGGCACAGATGTACAAATGTCTTATTTTTAACTAAAGGAAAAGAGCTTCAAACAGTGATGGGCAGTAGATATTACTAAATTGGTGATATTAAATGAATAAAATATAAAACTGTAGCAATTTCTATTACTAATCATAAATTTGTCAACACCAAATATGTTGGGGGAAATTCCTAACCTTTTTTTAAAAAAAAGATTTATTTATTTATTTGAGAGGCAGAGTTTCTTTTTTTTTTTTTTTTTTTAAGATTTACTTATTTGTTTGAAAAGCAGAGTTACAAAGAGACTTTCCAAATGGCCACTGGGGCTAGGCCATCCTGAAGCAACTCTGTCCAGGTCACTGATATGGGTGGCAGGGTCCCAAACACTCAAGCCATCTTCCACTGCTTTCCCAGGTGCATTAGCAAGGAGCTTGATCAGAAATGGAGCATCCAGGACACTAACCAATGCCCATACAGGAGAGAGGCAGAGTTTCAGAGAGAGAGAGAGAGACAGGTTTTCCATCCACTGGTTCACTCCCCAAATGGCCACAAAGGCCAGAGCTGGGCCTATCTAGAGCCAGGAGCTTCCTCCAGGTCTCCCATATGAGTGTAGGGCCCAAGCACTTGGGCCATCATCCACTGCTTTTCTGGCTCCTTAGCAGGGAGCTGGATTGGAAGTGGAGCAGCACAGACTTGAACCAGTTCCCATAAGGGATGCCGGTGCTGCAGCTGGAGGCTTAACCTACTACATCACAGCACCAGCCCCATCTTAGCCTGTTTTCTAATGGAGTTCATTTTCTTCTGGTTGTAGCCTTTTCCTCTTCTTTTGACCTATTCTGTCTTCAGCATCCCATGCTTATCCCATGCTAGTCCATCCCACAGTCACCCACACTGGAGAGTCATTTCCCCGTATCAGAGCCAATGTGCCAGTCACAAAGGGTGTTAACCTGTGTGTCTGTCCTTCCTCGGAGTTAACTCTTAAGAACAGACTCGGCTTCCTGTGAACAGCAGAAGCTTCCTTCTTGCCAGAGCTACAGTGCAGACACACATGGTGGGCTGAAAGGAGAGCAGCTGTCCAGGGGTCCTGGGCTCTCAGTGCTCTAGTGCTTGGTCTGGGTGGTGACTGGACCTCGTGTTTGCTCTGTAAGAACTCACTGAATTACAAATGTCGAGTTTATATCCTTTTTATAGTTATATTATGTTTCACAACGAGAAGTGTTCAGTAGATGGGGGAGGAGGGACTTTGTGGCACAGCAGGTTGAGTTCTTGCTTCAGGTGCCAGTGTCTCATAAATGAGTGCCTGATTAGAGTCTTGGCTGCCACCTGCCTCTGGTCCAGGTTCCTGCTAGTGTGCTTGGGAAGCAGCAAATAATGGCCCAAGTACATGGGTCCCTGCCACCCACATGGGAGACATGGACTGAGTTCCTGGTTCCTGGCTTTGGTCTAACCCACCCCTGGCTGTTGCAACCATTGGGGCATGAACTATCAGCTGAAATATTCCCTCTCTCTCTCTCTCTTCCCCCCCCTTTCAAATAAATGCATAAATGCATTTTAAAAATAATTGACTATATTTGTGTGGTTTGATTTCTTGGCTCTGTTTTGATCCATTTATGTTAAATGCCTATCCATTGCCAATACCACACTATCTTGATTAACACAGCTCTATAAAAAAAATTGAAATGTGGTCCTCTAATTTTGTTCTTTTCAGAATTGTTTCAGCTATGTTAGTACTTTTGCCTTTAAAAATTTTTAAATCAGTTTGTCAATATCTACCCCAAAAAAAGCTTGCTGGGATTTTGAATGAAATTATAATCCATTAATGCAAAACATGATTCCATTTATTTAGGTCTTTGGTTTTTTTTCTTCTTATTATTGTTTTTTGTCTGTCTGTCTGACTCTCTCTCTGTAACTCTGCCTTTTTTGTCATGAGAGATGCAGCAGTTAAGACACCATTTGGGATCCTCACATCCCATATCAGCATGCCTGGGTTCAAGTCCTGGCTCTGCTTCTGAATCCAGCTTCCTGCTAATGCCATTCTAGAGGAAGCGGGTGATGGATTGATTACTTATGTCTGTGCCACCCACATGGGAGAGCTGAATGGAGTTCTGGGTTCCTAGCTTCCACCTGGTTCTGCCCTGGCTGCTGTGGGCATTTGGGAAGTAAACTAGCAGGTGTAAGATTTTTCTCTCTGCCTTTCAAATGAAAATACATAAATAAATTTTTTAATTAATATTTTTGTCACAAATTATTGTTGAACTTTGTGTAATGCTTTTTTCATCTATCGTTATGATTATATAGTTTTCTCTTTTGCCTATTAATATGATGAGTTACATGATTTACAAAAGTTTACTCAGATTTGCATTCCTGAGATGAGCCCCACTTGGTCATGATATTACGCTTTTGATAGATTAGTGGATTCAATTTGCTAACATTTCTTAAGGGTTTTTAAGTCTATATTCATGTGTGAAATTGCTCTCTTTTTCTTGTAATGTTTTTTTCTGGATCTGATAGGGTAATGCTGGCCTCATACAATGAGTTGGGAGCTCTTCCCTCCTCTTCTATTTTCTGGATGACAATAAGTTGGTATTATTTCTTCCTTAAGTATTTGATAGAATTCACTAGTGAAATCAGAAGTGCCTGGTATTGGAGGTGGGGAGTGTTAGCTACTTATTCAAACAAATGCCACATAGTATAAGATTTTTGCTAATACAACAGTCCCTCTTCTCCTGAACAGGTGCAAAACATTTCTTTGAACTTTTCCAAATGTGATGTTAACAATGGACCAAAATATTTTAATGCAATTAATTGCTAGATTCAAGTGTGTAAAATAGTCTGTGAATATTATTTTTAAAAGCAATAATCTGAAATTAATTCTGGACTTTAATTATTGTTTATGAGAGAGAGAGAAAAAAAATGTGCGCTCCCCTCTACTGGTTCACTCCCCAGATGCCTGAAAAAAAAAGTAAGGAGCTGGGAACTCAATCCATGTCTTAAAGATGAGTGGCAGGAAACCAAGTACTTGGCCGTCACCACTGCCTCCTGGGGTGCACGTTAGCAGGAAGCTGGAGTCCGGAGCTGGAGCTGGGCATTGAACCCAAGGCACTTGGGTATGAGAAGCAAGTGCCCTAAACATCTCAACTGCTAGCTGAAACGCTCACCTCCAAACTTGAATGTTGACTGAATTCCGAGCTCACTGAAAGTGGGCACCCAGAGGAGGCTGGCCCTCTCCAGCCTGTGCAGGCTTCCTGCCTGGCCCAGAGCCCCGCTGCCTCCTCTTCGGCTTGATCCCTTATCATTTCTTCTGTCTCATCTTCTGAGCAACCGTCCTGTGATTAGGATTCTAGTCGATGTGCCCCCTCCTGACTACAGTAGTCTGGGAGAAGGTGACCTTTTATAAAACCCTTGTATGCTGTGAAAGTTCTGTTTTTCTCTTACAACAGTTCTGGGCATATCTCTGTAGGATGTTCTACTCGCTGCATTTCCACTCATTCCCCATAAACAGTGATATGCCGATACATTTTTAGCATAACCAGTGAGCAAAATCAGTAAAGTATATTTGGACGGTGTAGACGCTGAAGATAAATGGTTTATTAACAGCCCAGCTGGCTCTGTCGCACCCGGGAGCAGATGTAGGAAGTTCAGCCTTATTTTTCCACTGGCTTTACATCAGGGTCCTTTCCTACTGTTCTCTTGTGACCACAAAAGAATCCAAATTCAATCCAAAGTTAATGATTAAACATGCTCAGCGGCACAGATTTCTAGAAGCTCGACTGAGCACCCAGCCCCTGCCCGTCACTTTCTGGCAGCGTGCTCTTGCAAAATTAGCCAGAAAAAAAAAAAAACCCACACAGAAATGGTAACACCTAATAAAGATGCGTGCTGCAGTCTGTACTGGTGAAAAAGTGGACATCAGTTCACATCGTGTCCATTATACACAGCAGTCCCTCAGTGTGCAGGCAGCAAAACAACGCAGCGGCCTGGGAAATCCTGCATGAAAATGTTCAGTGAAAACCAGAGAGCCTACCAGTACATCCGCTGTAACGGAAGCCCGGGAAATTGAAAATGTACATTCGAATGTAATTTAGAAAAGTGGAAACCATTTTACAATGGGGAGGATATGGGTGACTGCCTCTGTTCAAAACTTGCTTTTCATGCTGTCATGTTGCTGAAAAGGAAGGCCATCAGAGGTCATGTCTTAGGATTTTTAAAAGCGACAGCATCTCCCCAGTGTATAAGAAGAAAGGCTGTCCTTTGAACTCATGACGTATAACACACGCTGCCTGTGTTGTCCTGCGCCCTCCGCTGTGAAGGCGGAGGCTTTTGGGGCAGCACCAGTCCCTTCGTGGGAATGGGTCTCAGATGTGCCCCTTGTGACCTGTCCCGTTCCCCCGCAGGAGCTCAGCGAGATGCTGCACACAGACCGGCCTGACTGGCAGAGCGTGATGCAGTACGTGGCCCAGATCTACAAGTACTTTGAGACATAAAGCTGGAGGACCCGAGAGCTGGCGGCACCTGCGGTTTGTCCTGGAAGTCCCCGGTCACTGTCCACCAGCCCTGCTCCACTCACCACCCTGCTGGCCCGATTTCCAAGGAAAGCCAAGTGGACCGACATACAAATAAGAGACAGAGCTGGGGTCTGCTGTGTGCCTGTGTCCAGTGCAAATGTGCATGGAGTGGGAGTTGGGGAATCCTGGCTCTGCAGGGGGATGTTTCTCCAGAGGGCGGCCTCCCTCCTTCCACACCAGGGTCCCCGGCCCTGGCTCATCTCCATGGGAGGCAGGATGCCTACTAGTCCCATCTGGTGATTTCACACAAACCCACACAATGTCCCTGACAGCACCTCCAAGTCACACTTTGACGCTAGCATTTGCCTTTATAAAAACATTGCCCTTCTCAGTCCCCTTCCCTATCTTCTTCCCCCAAAAATACACACACAAAAAAGAAAAGAAGAAGAAGAAACATTTGCTTTGGAACGACCTAGAAACACAGAGTGGCCCCGCCTTTTTGGGAGCTCAAGTTCTAGGTGAAAATGTTGACACCTCCGTAGGACTTGATTACTTGGTTTTTGTTATTGTTGTTGTTGTTTTTTAATTCACTCGATTTTCCGGATGAAAGCGAAGCATGTGAGAATGCAGAGGAGCCCCTGGGTGCCCTGCCGACGGGCCCTTCCGCAGCAGGAAGTGTGCGCCAGCCTCCATGCTGGAAGGGAAACCATAAGCAACGTCCACCCACGCCTGTTGTCCTCCATTCACCAACACTCTCATTCACACCCACGCACGTTTGTCCCCCACACAGCCTGACAGCAGGTCACTTGTGTGCTTGGGAAGGGGCCCGAGTCTGTCAGGCCTCACTTATTTGCACAAATGAACCGAGCAAGGGTGTGGGGTTCTAAACAGTATTTCAATTCTAGGACTTGGTCCTCTGCACTTTTTTAGGCCTTTCATATTTGGGGGTGGTTGTGGTGGCTCTGTTTATACTAAACAAAGAAGTGCACTTTCCCCTTTCAGCATCCTGGCCACGCCACCCTCAGTGGCAGCACGGGCAGCAGGTAACCACACAGCGACTCTGGGGCAAATTCACACAGGCCGCTGAGGTAAATGCTAAGTGCCCATGCAGTGCTGTTTTAAGTGCCAAATACCTGTGTGTTGGTGCCCCTCTGACAAAGGGTCCCTGAGAAGTCCAATTCCTGCCATTGCTGTGTAAAGTGAGCCTCTGGTGGCTGATCCCAGCTGCTCCTCACGGGCTGCAGATACAGTCCCTGTGCTGGGAGAGCCATGAGTTCTGTCTCCTCCCCTGGCCAGCCCTTGGAAGGAGCAGCCGGGCTCTGCAGGCCAGGGCATCCCTGACTAACAGGCTGCTGCAATGCCCAGAACCAGAGCCTCCGCCTCCTGGCCTGCCTGTGGTTCCTGCCTGCGGCTCTGGCAGGAGCTCCTAATACACCCACTCCGGGCCTGAACCCATCAGCTGATCCTGAATATCTGGAATGGGCCCAGAGACCTAGTCCGTGTATTCTCAGTTCTCCAGGCAACTCTGATGCCTGGCCGTGGGAGAGCCACTGAGAGGAGAGAGCCCTTGCCTGGACAGTTCCAGGGCTTGTCCGGCTGCTGCTTATGGGACTAGCATTAATTACAGAACTGGCCCCTTTGTTACCTAATGAAAGCTTGAACAAATTTAACTTGCTCCTCCCTGATGAGTGTGTCCCAGTGAAAATCATTACCTGTGTTGCTTCATGCACCTGTCTTTTGTTGACTCACCTGATGCATCTTCGTTATCTCTATGCTTCTGCTTTGCTCACCACTGAAGTGGTGGGTGGGGGGACTAAAACCCCAAGTTGCTGGGTTGAGCAGGTGGTGGTTGTGTTTAAGCTGGGATTACTCCAGGGTTTTGTGCAGCAGACGCAGTTGAGGTCCTGGGATACCGGAGAGGCAGTTAGCGTGATTGCCGGCCTGTTTCCATTGATTACGTCAATGTTCTAGAAGGAGCTCTGGGCACAGCCGTCTCCACGCTGGGGGATGCCGCTTCCTTCTCTCCACACCAGTCCTCCTCCTCCATCACTGAGTACTTGACCCAGACCCCCTGTGAGTTCAAAAGAAAGAAGGAAATGTCATGGGAAAGAAAGATCCTGTGCAATTGGTTTGCATAACTCCAGCGGCGTCCCTGACTACCACTCTGCCTGCCTGTGGACATGCACGTAGAAGGGGACTCAGCCAGGGGCCGCAGGGTGAGAGGAAGGCCCTCGGGCTCAGCCAGAGGTGGCAGCAGAGGTCGCAGCCTCCCCTAGGCCAGGCACTGGCCAGCAGGGCATGGATGCACAGGACTTGGGGGAAGTGGGCCCTCCCAGGCTGGGCCAAGGGGAGGGTCTAAAGGTCCATTTTTAATTGGAGAGCTCAGAGCACAAATGTGAGTGTAGAAAATGGATAAACCAAGAAAAGGAAATAGCAACCGATGTTTTCTTTGGTTCTCCTCAGCAAATTGTACCATTCCCAGTTTTATTTCCTGAGTGAGGCTTTCTCACAGGCCACAGTAGCCATATTTCTTCCTTCGGCCGGAAGCTAGCCAAGTTACCTGGCTTTTTCTTAAGGTGTCATTTCTATACAAAAGACAGATGCGAAAATGCAAAACTCAGAAGAGCAGAAGAGTTTTTTAAGGCGTAAAGAAAAGTCCGTGTGAATCTCCGCATTGGGAGTTGCTTTGTGGGTTGCATTACAGCTGACCAAGAGTAGCATCGCGACCCCTGCCTTATGGGGGTGAAACTTCTCTCATCCCAGTCTCTTCTCACTTCAAGAACGCTGCTGGTCTTTCGTTTCTATTCTTCATTGACTTGTTGCACAGCAGTTGTAAACTACTTTCAAACCAGATGCCAAAAGTTAAAAATCCAGTCCCAAAGTGATTAACCAGCTGGCAAGGACAAGAGCGTCCCTGGCCATCTTCTCTCAGCTCTCCCCCGACCACCCCATGAGGGGCAGGCACGTCACCGGCCAGTGGAGACCGAGGACGGAGTGGTTTAGAGCAAACCCGCAAGCCCGCTGCGGCCTCAGCTCTCGGCTTGCCAAGGCTCCAGTGCCATGTGACATGACTTCCCAACGACACACAGAAAAGGCTGTACCTGTGCAGACTTTTCAAAAAGTCTTCTAGACATCTGCATTTGCCCCCGTTTCGCTCTGACCCAGGTTAGAGCTTGGCTAAATCTGTAACATCCTGAGTAGCTCACTAATTTTAACTACATTAGTTGAATGCAGTTGATACATCTGTGGCCTCGTTTCTATCAAGAGCACACTAGATTGTACCAAGCACTGTCAGGGTATGACATGCTGACATAGATGTATTTAACTATTAACATGAAAGTGTACGTACGACATGCGACTGTGATATTTCTAATAAATATATTTTGTTTCTGTCTGATGATGTCTCTTTTTTCCCGGTGACATTCATTGATAACTGCTTGTTTCAGAGCAGCAAGCATACATGGAACGTTGGCAAAACAAAGCAGCAACTGCATGCATGTATCCCTTGTCGGTCAGCATCTCCACTGCTGGCTGCTGTCTTGGGCCTCACTGGAACTTTCCACAAGGGACAGGGCCTGATGACTCCTTCGCCTCCTTCTGTCCACAGCTAAGACTACACATCACCCTTCTGGGCCCTCACAAGATGTTGTCAGGCTGTGAAAAACGTGCATACGACATGCAGTGCTACATGGGTGACACATGCCAGCTGAGACCTAGGAGATCACACCAAGGTGAGCGCTAAGTGGGAGTTATGCCAAGATGGAGCAAATGAAACAAAGACACATTTCTTAATTTGTATGTTTGAGAGGTAGAGAGACACAGCATTCCCTTCTGCTGGTTCACTCCCCAAATACCCACAGCAGCTGGGGCTGGACTGGGTCTCAGCCAGGAGCCAGAAACTCAATCCGGGCCTCCCACACGGGTGGCAGGGACCCAACTACTTGAGTTATCACCTGCTGCCTCCCAGGGGAGAAACTTGAAACCTGACCTCCCTAAGGTCATTGTCCTTTTTCCTTCTTTCTTTGCACACCTTACTTCTGGTATCATGAATGAAATGACACCACACTCATCCAAGCAGAATCTCCGAGCCTTCTTCCCTATGCTTTAAATGAATTTAGTCTAACTTAACTCTCCTGCCTTGCTAAAACTTTTCAGTGAAATTTTTCTAGATTATGGAAATTAAGCCATAAAATTATTTGGCCTGGACATCTCGTAGGGTTGGCCAAAAAAGCCCCATTGCCCCTCCCATTTGTCCATCTGTGCTACTATTTATATCATTTCTGACATGGTATCATTACTCTTGTATCCAAAAAAATGAAGCAAAACAGAAAGTAGAACATGGGAAAAATTAGCCCCCGCCTTCTTTAACTGCTATGTGTGGCCTCAGACCTAGGAAGGCCAATCCTAGAAAACAAATCCAGCTGAGGAGGGACCCAGCCCTGAGAAAGGCGAAGCCCAAGGTCAGGACCAGGCCAGAGTCTCAGACCTCAGGAGCCAGGGGAATCCACTGCACAGAGACCCAGACAGGCCATCGGCCAGTCACTGGGACATGCAGCTCAGGGCTCTAAGGAAGACAAGCCACACACAGTTCTGGGGAAGCCCTATAAACTCAAATATATTTAACTCCCACAAATTCAGCTGCCTATGTTTGGAGGCAAGGGGTGGGGAGGTGGAACAGTGTTGGATAAAAAGGAAATGTGCCTGTTGCCATCTGCCATGGCAGCCTGTGGTCACATGCCCCAGAGTGAGCAGGAGATGGGCCACGTGTGGTTCCCACAGGGGGCTCAGCTGTGGGTGTCTCGCAACACTGACTATGCTTTCAGTTGCATTTGTCTGGGGTACAACCTGGCCCTCAACTGTAAACACCTCCTTCATCTAATGTTTAGTCCAGCCTTGGAGAAAAACTTGTCTATGTTGGATCCATTTGACAATTTGTAGATATTCCAGTATCATTTTCAAGGGAAATTGATGAAGGAAACTCCCTTGGGCTCCAAATCCCAACTCTTTAGGCAAGAGGGAGGGAGCACTCCCAAAGTTCAGGCCTTGGAGAGTCGAAGCAATGATTATTTTGTACCCGCCCGATAGGCTGGGGTCAAGGGTCCCCCTCTAGCCTTTTAGAGGTCAGACGACACTATTGGCCATTGTACTCATGTCCTTTGCTGCTGTAACAGATGACTAGAAACTTAGCCTAAAACAGCACAGAACTGGCACCTTACAGTTCTGGAGGTTAACAGTCCAGCGCTGGTCTCATTGGGTTAAAATCAAGACAGGAACAGGGTTTGTTTTGCAGGAGGGGCTCTGGAGGAGAATCTGTTTCGTCGCCTTCTGTATCCTCTAGAGGCCACCTTCAGCCCTGGGCCCTGAGCCCCTTCCTCCACCTTCAGTGCCAGCGGGGCTACATCTCTGTCCTGTCATCACATGTCCCTCTGGTTCTATGCAAGTGGGAAACGCTGATTTTGAGGACTCCCGTGAGCAGATTTTGCTCCTCCCATTAATAATTGGTTGAATCTGTCTATATTTCCTAGTTAAAATTATCAGGTTGTATTAGCCATGGTTCTCCAGAAAACTAGAACTGATAGATTAGGTAGATGATAGATAATGAGCTGATAGATGAGAGGTAGGCGATAGATAATGAAATCTATTATGAGGAACTGGCTCATGTGACCACGGAGGCTGAGAAGTCGCATCATCTGTCATCCACAATGGGAGGCCCAGGAAAGCCACTGGGGTCGTTCAAAGTCCTGAGAGCAAGAGAGCCAAAGGTGTAGATTCCAGCCCAAGTCTGAGGACCTGAGAAGTCCCATCACCACAGGCAGGAGATGGCTGTCCCACACGGGCAGTCAGGCAGAGAGCCCAACCTGTCTTCACTTCTACTCAAGTCTTCAAAGCATTGGGTGATGCCCACCCACACTGGGTAGGGCCATGTTCATCAGTTAAAATGTTAATCCATTCCAGAAACAACTCTACAAAGACACCCAGAAGTATAGTTTAACCAGCTATCTGGGCAACCCTTACCCAGTCAAATTGACACCTAAAATTGATCATCATACAAGGTAAAGAATCAGACTGGTCCACCATGAGGCTTCCCCACCCCACCTGCCTCTGTGGGGCACTGTTCATACCAGAGCCTTTCACAGGACACCAGCCAGCTGTTGGTTAGCTTCCCTGCTCGGGAGCCTATCCATGACCTGTCAGCTGGGCTGGGGATGAATATGGCCAGGCCTCTAGCATACTAGGGCTGTTTCCCTCCAAGGGCGGTGGTGACCAGGCTTGGCCGTATCCTCCTCCTAACTAGCCAGGCTTCCCGAATACTGGAACCTTGTGCTATTGCAGCTGGAAACCCAGCACCAGCACAAGACTGATGTAGCATTTGCAGAGTTTGGGACACCCAGTCAATGACGTAGACACTAGGCCATTTTGTGGACAAAGAAACCGGGCTTCATGAAGGTGAATGGTCTGCCTAAGGTAACTAAGCTTGGGGAGGGCATAGCCCAAGCAGGCTGGCACCAAAGCCAGCACCACCAGTCACCACTCGACACACTAGCACTGACCACCTGTCACTTAAAAAACAAATTCTCATCCGGTGGAGATCAGAAACGAGGTCCCACACCGAGACTCAACACATCTTTAGTCAGAGTCTGGGCAAAATGGCAAACTAAACATGCGCCAGAATACTTACGCTCAGACGGTCATCAAAGGCAGCTTGCAGGAAAGCCTTTCCCAGAGCCCGCCTCCAATCCCTCAGCTTCCATCCCATTGGACAAAACGAAGTCACATGCCCTGGCCCAACCAATCACTAGCAAAAACCAAAAGGGCCTCCTGGAACTTCCTGATTTGTGCTGGGTGAAGAGGCATTGCCCATCCGCAGGACACAGGGCGCTTCTCCCAGCAACAAAATAGGGATTCTGTCAGCTTGGACGATTGCGAGGGAAGTGCTCGCGTTTTCCTCATGAAGAAGGGACTGCGCGGGTGGCCGCGCCAGGGGGCGCCCCTGCTTCCCAGAGACAGGGGCCGGGCGTCTGACACCCAGGTGTACGCTCCCGGTCCCCGGAGTTCCCTCCAACTGGCCGCTGGCCGGGCCAGACCCTACACCCTACGGGCAGGCCCTCCATTTCCGGGCCCCAGCACTGATGGTAGTGCCTGAATGGAAAGTTCCCTGTGTTCTTTCTCTCAGGGATTAGAAAGATGGCGCACTTGAGGAAGTGGGCGGTGCTGGCTGCCTGCCTCGGCCCCTGTGTCTCCCCAGACTGCTGCACTGAAACCTTTCTCTCCAGGCTCACCGGGTGACTTTAAAAAATGATGTATCTATTTACTGGAGAGAGATGGGGAGGGTGAAGAAGAGATCTTCCATCCAATGGGCCACTCCCCAGATGGCCACAACAGCAGGTTTGGACCCTGCTGAAGCCAGGAATGCCCATGTAGGTGGCAGGGACCTACCCAAGTATTTGGGCCATTTTGAACTGCTTTCCCAAGTGTATTAACAGGAAGTTGGATCAGAAGCAGAGCAGCCAGTACTCCAGTCAGCGCTCAGATACGGGATGCTGGCGTTTCAAGCAGCCGCCTAACCTGCTGCACTACGGCACCAGCCTCTCACCAGTGACTTTCACAGTGTCTGTGAAACCAGGAGAGAGGGAGGGCGTCACGGAATGAACTGCCACTGCTGCCTCTTGGACCCCCTTCTAGGCCACACCCCCATCTCCAGGTGGCCACCGTGACCTCCACCTGTCTAGGTCAGTGGCCAGTCCTCCGTCTTCACCCAGCACAGCCCCTCGGCTCCTCCCCACCTCTCTCCTCCTCCCCTTATCCTCCTCTCCCATCTGTTTCGTGTCTTGTCCGGTGGATAGCTATACAAAGTACCATAGGCTGCCTTAGAAACAGCCAATGTTTATTTCTCACAGTTCTGCAGCCCAACACCAGGGTGCCAGTGTGAGGGCCCCCTCCTGGGCTGCACAAACAGCCAGCTGCCTGTCATAACGTGACATGGACGAGCAAGAATGAGCGGTTCTGCAGAATCTATCCATAAGGGCCCTAACCCCACTCATCTCTGCTGGCCCTATCACCTCCCAATGATTCCACCTGCCTACCTTGGGGGTTAGGGTTTCACATAAGAGATTGGGTAGGGGAAAAATCCAGACATTTAGTTTGCTACTGTGGGCTGCGTGTATGTCCCCTCTTTTGGCCCCTTACATTTGGTATCTCTGAGTGTAGGTGTTTGGCCTACTGGTTAAGATGCCCGTATCATTTCAGAGTGCCTATGTTCAATTCCCAGCTTCTCACTCTGGCTTCCTGCTAATGTGCACCATCAGAGACATCAGGCATCAGTCCAAGTACCTGGGCTCCAGCCACCTGTGTGCAACACCGGGATTGAATTCCTAGCTCCTGGCTTTGGCCTGGCCC